TGAAATATTTATTCTATATATCACACTCTCAATTGAAATTTATTTTTATTTTTAGTTGTTACAATATTTATAAAATAAGATGTGTTATTAATTTTGTTATTTTAATTGCAAATATTTCTGATATATGTTTTGTTGGCTATAGAAAAGGAAGGATGTTGATGTGTGTTTTAAATAGGTTGCATCACTCTGTGTTTTGGAGTAACATCCCTTGTATCTGTTGTTGTCAACCAAGATGGCATTAGATTAAACAGCTGATTTCATGTCTTATAATTTATATCCAGAGTCTTGTTATTATTCGTTCATGATAATCAACAAACTTCAACACTTTCTTTGTGAAAGTCATCTTTCAGCAAAGCTCAGAAGACTAAACTGAATAGTGTTGGAGCCAGCACACAGCCCTGCTTCACCAGTGGCATAGCATCCATGGCGCGAATGGGTTCAATGAACCCAGGCCCACGACCATTTAGGGTCCCACACCCTATTGGTGTAAGAACTATGGGGCTAGGACCGGATTTACCTCTATGGAACACAAACTCTAGCTTAAGGCCTTCAAGAAATATTTAGTAGTTACATGCAATATCAGGGTCCCCATATCTCAAATAGCTTAAAGCTTTTTCAACTCTAAATACTGCACTGCGCGTTGGGGCTTCATATAACCTGGTCCAATGACTAATGACCGATAATGGCCTGCCCTACACTGCAGTTTAAAAAAAAATGGTTAAAAAATTAAAAAGTTTCCTTAAAATATCCTAAACGTCATATCAAACTTGATATTAACATAAAAACATTTGGTTTCTATTCTGTCGTGTTTTTTTTCTTCTATGTTAATTAAACTGTTAATAGTATTACCTTTTTTTTTTTTTTTTTTAAAGTAATCTTTTTTTTTTCCAGTTTTCTATTAGCAGAAATGTAGATTTTGACTTAAAATTAGATATTAAACAAGCAAAAGAATCATTATGTTTTGTTACTTAGGGAAACGTTAAAGATGTCCACTTTTCTTATCTTATCTTATATGATACAGTTTCTTAATGTTTTCTTGAGTTGAGGGGTCCCAAACAGAGGATGCATATTCTATTATTGGCCTAACCATGGTTAAATAACATTTTAGTTTTATGTTCTTATTTGATTTATAGAAATTTCTTTTAATAAACCCTAATGCTTTGTTTGATTTTTTTTTTAATAGTTTTATCAATATGGGGATTCCATGACAGTTTTTCATTTATTATAACACCTAGGTATTTTTGCGTTTTTAACCTGTTTTACTGGTTTACCATGAATAAGATAAGTGAAATTTATTTGTTTTAGTTTTTTTGTTACTCTTAATAACTGACATTTTTCAGAGTGAAAAGACATGCTCCAATTTGATTTTCATTTCTGTAATTCATCTAATTCTCTTTGTAAAATTTCTGTATCTTGTGTTGTTTTTATTGTTCTATATATTATGCAATCGTCTGCAAATAATCTGGCTTTTGTTCCTGAACTAATGCAGTTTGGTAAATCATTTATGCAAATTAAAAATAGTAGTGGACCTAAGACTGTTCCTTGAAGTACACCTTAGTTTTAAGCTACTTATCTTGACTGAAGTGGGGACGGGGTTTAAAAGACAATTTTTTACTTTAGAGCGATAATTACATTTATCGTGGAATAGTGTCTTGAACTTGAATGGTTGCTTAGTCATCTGATATGTTGGTATGTGCACTGGAAAGTCGTTCAGATGGTCTCGAGTTTATAGGGTGCTTTTTGCCCCACTTTAGCCTACTCTGACACAGCACCAATGTTGTTTGTTGTCCAACCGAATCATCAAAACAAAAAAAAGTAGAAAGATAGGCCTTCTAATGACTTAACTTCATCAACAACCTTGCCAAACATACAAACAACGTGAACAACTGAGAACAATGGATGATGCAAACAATGAGCACATTGAATTTGATAGTGAATGTAATTTTAGAATGCAACATACTTTCATATAGTGGTCATCCCAAATAGTATTGTTTAGGTGACACAAGTAACAACGAAAATGTCTTAGAGGAGTACATAAATTCTTAAGAAAACAAAAACACCAGTCTTTAACCTCGACCCACAGATTCAAAACGATATAATAGACCTGTTGAGCAATGCAATTTTATCAAAATCTGCACCATTTTTCTCTATCATGGTTGACAGCACTCAAAAGAGAATTAAAAATGTATTGATTTGCATTTTGTTTTCTGAAAATGTTTTGTGATCTTTGATAACGAAATAATCAAAGAAATTGCAATCAGAGAGTCATTTGTAGGTTTTCATATTTGTGAGAACCAGGAGTCTGCAGTAATGACTGAACTAATACTCTTAAGTAATAAAATATCACCATCTTTTTTAAAATTACTTACGATGCCAATAGGCAATGATGTTTTTTTAAAATATGAACGGACAGTACAGTAGCCTTCGGGTATTGTTTCAATAAAAGCAGCCGCTTGCGCATTATGTTCCCTGTCTTCAACAAATACTTGGTCATAAATGATTCTGTCAGCTGTGATCATGAACTTGCATTGGAATGTCTTTTAGTAAATGTACCGATACATACAAGCTATTTGATTTCTTTGTCACACAAAATATTTGTCATATGGGGGGGGGGGGGGGGGGGGAGGAAGGGAGGGCCCATCAACATATTCTTGAACCCGGGCCCACGGGTACCTTGCTACTCCATTGTGCTTCACTCCATTTGAGAAAGGAAAAGACTTAAAGTAGTCTTCATTGTCATGGACTCTTGCTTGCATTTCATCATGTAAGCGCACCATAGTTATGAATGGAAAGTGTTGTAAATCGACGACAGGCTCAATAATGTTGAGAATAAGGTCGTTAGTTAAAATAATAATGCTTGAATAGCTCAGTGGCTAAATATCATTGAGGCTCAAGTTCGAATTCCTACTTAAGTAGACATTTTTATTTTATATCGCTTTTGAAAATGCAGCATGGATGTCTTTAGCCAGATGATTGATTCAAAAGTAATGATGCAATTTGACTCAATATAAGCAAGGTTTAAAAAAGTAATTTTTCTATTAACTTGTTTGACTTGTCTTTGTCTTCCTCACTTTCTTCCACCTGACTCTGTACTCTGTTAGCTTGTATAGAAAGACTTTACATTGCTGAGCAAATTAAAAAAAGACCCTGATGTAACAAAGTTTCTGTTTTGTTTTGAGGTCAATGTAATACTATTTAAAAGTTATGTTTGTTGCACCAGTCACATATTATGATTCCACTCATTTTGAAGTATTAGAGATGGAAAGAATAAAAAAAAAAAACTGATTTGTCCTATGAATTTTTTAAAATTATTAATATTTAGTGATTGAGTACAACTTCATATATATAGAACAAGATACAGAATTTTACAAAGAGAATTAGATGAACAACAGAAATGGGAATCAAATTGGAGCATGTCTTTCCACTCAGAAAATAAAGTCTATTATTAAAAGTAGCAAAAAAACTAAGTTAAATAAATACTGGTAAACCAGTTACACAGACTAAAAACTTAAACACCTGAGTATTATAAAAAACTGTTATGGAATTAACAAATCAAACAAAGTATTAGGGTTTATTAGAAATGTCTGCAAATCAAATAAGAACATAAAACTCAAGTGTTATTTAACTTATATTAGTCCATTAATAGAATATGCATTCTCTGTTAGGGACCCCTCAACTCAAGAAAACTTGGCAAAGTTTAAGTCATTGATTAACATACATGACTATATTGACCTAATCATCTTCATTTTTGAAGTAACATCAGAATTTTATAAGATAACTTTAGTTATGGTAAAGCTTAAGCCTCAATGATATATAGCCACTGAGCTATTGAAGTATTATTATTTTAACTAACGACCTTATTCTCAACACTATTGAGCCTGTCATCGATTTACTACATTTTCCATTCATAACAATGGTGCCCTTATTTCATGATGAAATGCAAGCTTGAAAATTCCTTCCTTTCACTCCTGTGATACTTAACACAGGTATGCTATCAGTTTATTAGAATATTTTACTTATTACATGTACAAAGTTGAGTGAAACACTGTTTAAGGAAATAGATATAAATTTTTGCAAGGAAATTGCAAATTGGTCAGTCATTGTCTGGTTAATAAAAATAGATCTGTATTTATTATCAAATGTATACTATTAGCATTTTTAATTGCTGGAGATCTGCCTTTGTCCATTTTAGCAAATGGTATACTTCTAAATGCCATTAAGTGTCAGAAATCCTCAATTGTGCATTGTTTTTTTAAGTGATTTTTTTTTTGACTCAAACAAATTTCTGGTTAAATAAAAACCAACATTTCTTAGATTTTTGTTTCATAGATGTTTAAAAATATACATAATTTAAACTATAACTGTAGCTGTTTTTGCTATGCATTTTAAAAGTACTGATAATTACATTTGCTGTGTTAGTTAGCCATGTCAGATTAAGCAAAACTTCGGATTACCTAAGGTTAGTCTTAGTTTAGGTCTCCGGGTTGTTCAGCTTAAAGTGCAGTAAGCTCTCTCCACAGAGCTCATTATGGCAACTTTAACAGCCTCTTTTAAGATGCTGTGATGTTATGTCATACATGGACGGCCTTGTTTTCACAAGGCTTTCTCTTTTCTGATTCCATGTTATGGTTTTGGCAATTATGTTTCATCTTGGATATGTGTTACCAATTCTCTTTTCAACTTCAACATCTTTCAAGAGATGAATTTAAGAATTTTAGAAAATCTAGATTTCTTTATGATGTAGATAAAATAAGTAATGAAACAAATTTATTGATCTAAAAAATACAAAAATTTTGATTTCAGCTTTCACATACTGTAATAAATTACAATGTACATTCTAAAAATATACATACCACAGTATACATAAATTACATGAATTTATGAATGTGTATTAAAAAATCTGAGTCTTTTCTTTCTATGCCAACAATCTCTTATGACTTGTGGAATGTCTTTCAAAATAAAAAATACATGTTCAGCTGATGTATACATCTTTAACACACCAGATTAAAAAGTGTTGGATCAAGAGTTAACTGTATTCCAAGCTGAACATTTTTCTGAACTGCCTATCACACATATATAAATATGTGGAAAGAAACACACCATTATATTTTTCAAACTGGTAATTGCTAAAAAAAAAAGCACTTTTTTTTCTCCTGTGAAGGATTTTTGTTGTTTAATTAAAGTATCATTGTTAACTTGTATAAATTATTGTATTCTTAACTGGTCCACATTTCAAATAAGAAACTCAGCTCTGTAGATCTTAATTCAGAGATATATTTATGAAAGCGTTTTTTTTTTTTGTTTGTTTGCTTTGCTTATTAAATTTTTGTTTAAAAATTATTTTGACAATAAATCAAATAAAAATAAACAAAAATTTACATGTATGTATTTTATTGAGTCAAAATGAATGATTGCATAGATTCATAACACTTTAAAATTCTTAGAGGCACAATATTCAACAAAAACCTTTGCAGAAAAAAATTCAGCCACTTTGTAAAAATCTGCTTATTAGATTAAAGAATATGTATTTAATTCATTTACTAAAAAAAATTCTCTACCAAGTCAAATTATTTTGTTAAAGTTGTTATGTGTCAATACTCAAGGCGAATCTGAGATTGGGAGAAAAGTCCAGATACAAGTAAAACATTTCAACTAAAAATACTTTCAAATAGGCGTACTCATTTGTAAAAAAAAATTAATTATTCATAAAATGTGCAAAAAATATATACCTACTAATAATATTTGACTTAGGCTACTTACTTAAATGCATGATATAGTAATTAGCAAAAACATTAGAGTTTTAAGTAAAAACACCATTGGTAAAAAAAAATCCAATAACTGAAATGTAAATATACACTTGAAAATATATTTTGGCTACACAAATATTTTATACTTAAATTTAGTTGTAGAAAACTATTGGTCACTAATATTCAATAACAGACTTATTAAACATGTCTAATTTAAAAAAAAATCTTTCAAAGGGAAGTTTTTTAAAAGCACTAATAACTCAAAAACTACCTTTGTACCAATTTATGGGGCAATGGCAGCTAAAAAATAATGATAACAAATAGAATTATTTATGACACATTTCTTGTTAAATATAATTTTTGCAAGGTTAAAATCTAGAGCAGGGGTGTGCAAATTATGGCCCGCTGGCAACATGCGGCCTGCAAATCCCTACAGAAATCAGATATGCCTATAATACAGTACATACAGTAAAAAATGAAAATATTTAAAAAATAATCTATATAAATTATTTAAACAGACACATTATAAAAAGTTTCAAGAAAACGATTATTCTTATTGGCTTTACTTCAATACACTCAATCTAAGAAACAATATCTGGCCAACTGTGTTGAGTATGCTTGGTACAAGATGGCAAGTGTAACAAATGATTGAGCTCGATCTTTGACTTTGAAAAACTAGTTTTTTTAAATAAAGAATATCCTAGCAATAAACTCTAAACAGGAAATTTTGCACAAAGCTGCATAAAATATCAACATAATAGAGACTGGTATATCTCAGTGATCAAACTTATCAAAGTTAGGGGTCTTCACCACAGGCAGTTCTGAAAAGTACTTGAAATTTAGAAACAAAGTAATCTGATGTATACACTGACTTAGTATTGGCAAGGTAATGAGAAGAATATAAAATCTTAAGGAAGAAATTTTTGTTACTTGAAGGACATTGGATATGATTTTGTTACTAATATTTCTAATGAAGAGTGGAAGACAGACTTCATGTTTTTCATGATAAATATTACAATGGGGTGTTTGCATATGAAATGTAAGTTCATGTTAAATCTTTTCAAAAACAGGTTTTGTCATTTTCCTTTGCAGAAAGGTGAAACTATTTCTAGTGAAATGGTTAAAAGACTTTTAGATTTAGATGCCTTAATTGTGGAAGTTTTCAATACCATCAGCTCACCATTTAGCTAGAGGACATAACTGCAAGCAAATTATGACCTGAAAGACAAGTTCCAGTCAGTAGTTCCGCATGAGTTTTATGGTTGCCAGAAGCTGTATTTCCACACTTCAAAAAATTTGCTGCTAAACTTTTAAATTATTTGGGTACACATACAAGTATTTTTTTTTTGTGGAAACTAAACAAGTGTTATTACAGGTCGATGCTGACTGACTGTAATTTGACAGCAGTCACAAGGATAACAACTAGATAGCTAGTTCCACAGTTCTGGAATATTATGCAATTGTGTAAACAGTTAAATACTTCACAGTAAGTATAACTGTATACTTATGGTGAAATGTTGTGATGTAAAAAGACAATAGTAATTTGTTTTTTAATAGTAAAAATGGTTTCAGACATTGTTGTATATCTCAAATGGGAGTGGGGAAAAAAAAGAAAAGTAAAAATATGAAATAAAAGATATTATACATTTACACAGTTAGCTAGCGTATTTTTCAAATTTGTAAATATATATATATATTTTTTTTTTTTTTAATGCGGCCCTTAGTACAAAAAGGTTGCCCACCTCTGATCTAGAGCCTATCTTTTTAACAATAATTTACTTTTTGAAGAAAAGTTTACTTTTTTCCTCAGGACTGAAATACATAGAACTTTACAATAAATTAATTGAAGATTTAAACAAAACCATAAAACAGTAAATTTTAAATGTATTTTTGCTTTTTACACTTCTATTTAAAAAAACATAACTGAAGAAAAATCTAGCCACATTGTCAAGAGTTAAGGGAGCTTAAATGTGGAAAAAATATCTAAATTAAATTATCTAAATTTTAGAGCAAACAATTTAAAATTTTATCTAAAATGCACACGCAATCATTAATGTAATTTAAAAGCAAAGTTTAGGTTTGTCTATATTATAAGTATAAACTAGTTTACAAACTGTTGAGGGCTTCATAGTAGTGTTAAAGACACTGTGAAATGGTGATTTTACTGAAAGGTTCTCATGGGATGAATTGTCCACACTTTAAAAGGAATTAAAATTGGCTTCATATCAGTTCACAGTGTACCAAATGCATTTATCAACACAGTGTTAGGTCTGACACAGGGATCGTCAGAAGAACATATAGTCTTATTGTAGGAAATTGTATTGTATAAAGTCTTATTGTAGGAAATTCAGAAACATTTTTCTATCTTATGTATAAATAAAATGATATGCTTTGCAAACTGATACAACACTGGCTCAAGAAACATTTTAAAATTTTGCATTATAATTTAAAGTGGAATGTAGGACTCAAATCACACATAATCCATCAGAATGAACATAATTAATATAACATAATATTATGATTTAGCATATATTTACAAACCTGGCTGCTGTATTGATAAATGAGCATGTAATGATCATAGTTCAACAACTACTGTAGGGACAATTAACAACCATTTGATACATTTCATGACAAAATTACTAACTACTTTGAAGCTCTTATTACAATCCTTGGAAACACACAAAAGGTTTAAAGAACTATTGTTGAATTCTTTTATCAATTCGTGTTTCTCCTCAAAAGAACAAAAAAAAATACAGATAATGGGAAATTCTAACCAAAGTGTGACTCAATTCTTGAAATATTTTCCCAGTCAACACATATAGCTTGCAAGTCTTTTTCTATGTTGCCATCTATGTGATGATGGGTAATTCTTGAAGTTAGAGTTTTCAGTTGTAAGCAACTGGAATGTTTGAGTTCTTTTTTTTTAATGCACCAAACTTATCTTTTATTAAGTCATGTTTTAATATGACCTATATTTTAATATTTATGGTCAGAGTAAATGACACAAAGTTTTATGTATTTTTGATGGAATATATATTTTTGATGGAACATATTTTCATCTGACTCTATGTCACACTAACAGAAAGTATAAAACTTAAATTTAGGTACAATAATGTTTCAAGAATAAATTGTCAGCAATCCATTGAATAATTTTTTTGTTCATGATGTAAGCCACTAATAGTTTTTATTTTAAAATAAAGAACTGGTATAGTAGTGATAATTTGGGATGGGTGGGTGCCTTCAAACAAATACAACATAACTGAGAAGTCATCACAGAGCTTTTTAAATTCTTTTTTTTTTATAGAAATCACATAACGTACACTAGTAAAGTAAAATTGTTTTTTTTACAAAGTTAAACTAACCAAATAATGTCAATAGGATTTCAATAAAAAACAAACAACAGAATGGTTTTCATGGGAAAACTTTAAGACACAAAATTTAGACAAGTTTATTGTATTTTAATTACCAATGCATAGAATGTTTTTAACTTGCATATTTTAGAATTTCATGTAAAATTATGATTTAATATTCTTTAATACATTTGCTTCAATACAAAAAAAAAAGTTTATGGAACACTACATTTAATTTTAGACTTGTTATTATCAATATTTTCTAGGAGCTGATACTCTGTCAAACTGTTGGTGTCCCCCTCTGTAGTTTGAAGGTCCTTGGAAAGCTTGATTATCATAGCCGTTGCTTCCTCTATAGTCATCTGGTGTGTCATATACATTAGATGGATGAGATGAAGCTCCTCTGGATGAGGCAGGCTTTGTATACATGGGAAGGTCTGTAGTGTAGACTGTAGATCTCTGCCGACAGACAAATAGATTTAGTTGTTTCATACATTACAGTTTCTTTTTACCTTAAACTTAAATTTAGGTACAATATTGTTTCAAGAATAAATTGTCAGCAATCCATTGAATAATTATTTTGTTCATGATGAAAGCCACTAATAGTTTTTATTTTAAAATAAAGAACTGGTATAGTAGTGATAATTTGGGATGGGTGGGTGCCTTCAAACAAATACAACATAACTGAGAAGTCATGGCAGAGCTTTTTTGTTGTTTCAACTCATTTAATCATTCACATCTCATTTACCTTCTAAAGGTAAAAATAAAATATTATCCTTGTGGACATATAACAAAACATTACCATCGATAGCAATAAAAATATATATCACAGTTTCACTCAAACTTTACACATGAAATTGACATTAAAACGTTGGCTTTAATTTGACAAGTTATTGTGTCTGTTTGCTTTTGAGAAAAAGATAAATATAACATGGTGAAATATAAAGAAGGTTTAACATAGATAGGCTTTGATGAGGACTTGAAACACAGACAATTTAGGTTTTACTAGTTTAATTACTATTTCTGAAGCTATCTAAATATAATGTATTTATGTTGTCCTGTAAGTTGCTATTTAAATTAGGGTCTTTGACGGAAGCCTCAGGCTTAAACGTGTTAACCCTAATATATAATTGTTATTGAAAGCAAATGTGTAAAAAATGTGGACAGTCAATAACTATTGTATCCTAGAGCTGCAATTACATGCCATCT